TCTTGAACTAGGAGGCGCAGTGCTGGATGCAGTCAGGATTATGCAACACACTCACGACGACGTCCTGAAAAGTAGAATGCTTTGTGACTACGAAGCTGGAGTGTGGGTTGAGAGCACATGTCTCTGTTTATGTTCACCAGCCCTCGAGCTACCAGCTGTCAACTCTTTAACAGACTGATCGTACTTCGCCTCAGGGCCTTGAAGTAAGTGGTGTTTTATTTTCTCAAAGTCACGGAAACCAACCGGTTTCAGACCTTGAATTATCAGTCGTTCATTTTGGGACAGGTAGCTGTCCAATGCGGGGCCTCTGAGTACTGCTGCAATGCAATAGATCTGTTTTTATTGGATGGGCCCCAGGGTGGAAGGGTCGCAGTCAGCTAGTCCAGACAGGGAGACGTACAAGTACTGATACACAGTCGGGGACTTGGTCGCTGTTTGAAGGACAGCTCTTGATTTGGCTGATGTGAGGACTTGATACAGTTTTTCATCTGTGTCCTGTTTTAAACATTGTATTTTTCTTGGCGATATCATTTCAGTAAATGGTCTTTGAGTTGTGGTCCACTGCCAGACATGATTTGACCGTGGAGGAGTCTCCTGTCATCACATTGATATTTTATCTCTCAGTATATGAAAGCGAGGTCTCGTGGGAAATTTCATGCTAAAGCTTCAGTGGCTTTTCTGTTATATAATTCATCAAAGCAGAAAAAAGATCCGCACACTTCTGCTCCCGCAGAGGAAAACAGAATTTGGCAAAAGCAAAGTTTGCTAATTCATTCATGCATTTTTAAACCAACAAACTGTAGAAAAGCTTTGTTTTCGGATGCTAAAGTGACCGTGATGACCGCTTTGGACGTGAATGAGAATGACTTTGGTTTGGACATGAAGGGGTTCCAAAGGAAAGGAAGTGAAAAGGACGGGGAAAAGCCGACCGTCATCGTTTGTTTGTGAAACAATGCCGGCGACGTTCCACTGACAACAACAAAGGCGACACATTCCCCTTTTATAATTGAATCCCCTCATATGACCCCGCGGTGGTTTGAACACACTGTTCAGATCCAGACGCTTCCAGCATTTTAGGGATGCGTTCTTTGTTTGACTTCATTTAAAGTTAATTCACAGTCACAGCATCATCTGTAGATCACTTGTTCTTCGTTATACTTTTGATTTAAAATAATAGACTAAAAAGGAGAAATATTTTTTGAGTTTCAAAATGGTGTCACCATAGTTTTGCAAAAATATACCTACATAGATTGAGATATTTTTTTGATTCAGCCAACCAAATCATGCATAAAACAGTAGAGTCGACGTTCTATCATTGGCAGAGCAGACGGTCACACTGAGCCAGACAGCAGCCTGCTGCACAACACAAGAGCCACAGACTTTTGAACAACAAGCCACATCAGCTTTCCTGCTAAACTGTCCTTTTACATGCAAACATGAACACAGGTTTTGTCCTCCACCATAGCTTGTTGAATGAGCAAACAAACAAACAAAAAGTGCTCTGTAAACATCAGTTTGTAGGCTAGATGGCTAATAAGCTGTTCAGCTGCAGCACATTAAACAGAATGTAAATAGACCTACAAATGTCACATTTGTCATATAAGGTTCATATTAAACTGTTGTTATCCTAATGTTCCTATCTGAACTATTTCACTAGTTTGCCCTGAACCCACTAATAAACAACACTTACTTACTTTCATGTGAACTGAATACACCGCCTCATCTTTTATAGCAATGGTACTGGAGCTGGAGCTTCCTGCTGTAGCTCAGGAGGTGTTTTATTAGACAGGAAGGTAACTCTCTCTAGCATGAAGCAAAGCCCTCCATCCCATCAGCCTCCTGATGGTAACGTAACGGTGAGTACTGGACGATCTGGTCAAACTGCATTTCACTACAGTGTAATAAAAGGTCATTTGGTAAGAGAAAGACCTGTTGATTCACTCGTATACGTTTCCCAAATGTGTGTTGTCTCGATCTCGGTGCCCCCTCTGGTCGGTCGGGAGTTTCATGGGTACTTCAGCTCTGGATGACACTTATGGGAGCAACAGATGTTCATAAATCAAGGTCCTCAGCAGCTCTGCAGTCACTGCCGAACTGAGCGATCAAGATAATGAGAAAAACGGAATCCCTGCTATTTTCTAGTCATAGACTCAACGTAATACGTTATTTATGTTAATATGCATGAACCCCAAAGGACAGAATATTATTTCACCTTTAAGACACCGGTTTCCACCTGGAGGTTCGGGTCCCACCAGAGGCCCATTAAGTTATTTTTGGGATTTATTGAATCTGGAAAAAAATGTTTCAAATGCATACACAGATTTGAATCTCGTTCATTTCTTTCTATTAAGTCATGAGTATGAGCAGTTTCTATGTTTCCGAATTTGGAATTTTCACAATACCACCTGTAGCCTCATTCATCAGCATGAGGACATTTTCCACATTAATAACAGTAATAGCAAGTCCTGGTGTGGCCTCGCCTCTTTTCCTGCTCTTGCCTGAATTCTGTCCTCAAGTTGTAGTCGAATCTATGTGAAGGTGGCGACACTGTAATCTCTCCGTGTGACATTGTAATCTCCCCGTGCACTCACACTCGTTGACATGGTTGGTGAGGAGCTGACCTAGTTATTCAACACTGTTCTCAAAACACACATGTTCAACTCCTGCAGCAACCAGCATGTTAGCAAGCAACCTAAACCTGACCACATGTACCGCACGGTGAAGGACTGTGAACGCTACGTGTCAAAGCAGGTTAGCCATCTTTAGCAAGCAGAGTGCGAGTAACATTTATGTGACACATTTATTGGGGAGCTCCTAAATCAATGTCGTCTACTCAGCTGCAGATATAAAATGATGTAGGCCGCTGGATCGTTACTCAGATCCGACCATAAAATCTTACTCTCCTACAAAACCAGGGAAAGCTCTTCTGTAATGTGCTAACTCTGGGATTTCTATACATTTACACCTGTGGATGTGATTTACTCGCCTATAAGACTACAGAATGCCGTCTACCATCTGTGCAGTTAAACACAAAAGATTTAACTTATTTCTCAGTCGAAGATCTGGAGAAAGAGTGAATCTCATTGATTCAGTGAAACCTCAGTGGGCAGAGCCAAAGAAGTTTTTCTGGCCAAGTAACTTTAGCCTGAAGCTCAGCGGAAAGGCAATAATTATCATGTATACTGGTCTCACCGCTAACTAAGAAAATGCAGTCTAGCAATATACGGCTGTCTGTGTCAACTAGTCTGTTCAGCTTCCTTTGATTACTCCAGCTCTACTAGATGTTTTAAAGAAAGGTAAGGCTTTACTTTTAGCAGTCTGGGTGTGCCACTAACCTTGATGTTTGATTCAACAAATACTATTGTGTCTTCCTCCAGAGCAGGTTCATAACTGTAATCAGAGAGCCATATGTTTGTACTGTGTGGCCTCACTCATCACTTTAGTGCTGTCAACACAAGGCACACACCGGCCCTGTTCACAAGTGCTGGCACAGTAGGGAATAGTAGCAGTGAATAGCTAAATGTCAATATATAGGGAAAATCTGTGCCACTCACC